AAAATTGGAAGAAAAACAAAGATATACATCCCCGAGTCTCACCTCTGGCCAAGGAAGATTCTAGGCCCAAAGGACTCTTAGCACATTCATAAGGACCCATGGGAGCTCAGGAATGTCCCAACCCTACAGGTCTAGTGCTCACCCCAGACCCAACTCATTCCAAGACCATACCTCCATATGCTCAATGTGTCTCAAGTGGGAGTTCTTGGAGGCCAGCAGCAGCCCCCGGGCCTCATCCAGCTGGGTCTTCACTTGCAAAGACTCATTGTAGAGCAGGGAAAACTGAGCCTGTAGCATGCGGTACTCCCCTGTCTCACGAACCACCTCCTCAGGAAGGCTCCGCAGGGCCACCTGGGGAGGAAGGCGTCCAGAAGGGTCCGATTAGTGCCAGGATTTGCGGATCAGTCCAGGCCTCTCAGTCTCAGCCACAGCCTACCTTGAGACGTTCGTTGGTCCGGACAGCCCCCTGAAGCTCGGCCTGAAGCTTCTCTAGTTCCGCCATGCGGCTATTGGCCAGTTCCTGATTTTCTTCCAGCTCTGCATTCAACATCTCAAACTAAGGAGTGGAAGGGGCTGTGGTAGGCAAGACCAGGACGGGCAGTATGTCCCCCAACAATCCTCCATGCATTCCTCCCAGGCTCCCCTGTGCTGAGCACTGACAAAGGCAAACCAAGGGTTTGCCTAAGGCTCTAGGGAAATGGGAGAAAATCAGCCCTGCACGGGAACATCTTTCTTGTACTTTTTCTTTATGCTCCTCATTACCAACTTATGTACTATTTATTACTGGTACGTTCCCCCAATAGAATCTAACTTCCATGGGAGCTTTATTGTTCTCTCATTCGAAACAGTTGGAGTTCATTAAGAAACTGATTTGAAGTATGGTAGTTCAAAGCCTATAATCTCAGCACTTGGGAGACAAAAGCAAAAGGATCAGTCACCCTCAGCTACACACAGCAAGTTCCAGGCCAGCCTGGCCTATATCATGAGACCCTGCCTCAAAACCAAAGAAGCAAAACATAAAGTCTGTGCAAACACAGACTGAAGTCCGGCGTCAAGGCGGAGGGAGGTGCTCAAGAGGACCGAGCATGCTCAAATATGCGCATCGGCTTCTCAAGACAAAGTCAAGTAAAGCTCCAGCTGTCACCGGTACTCTCCAGTCGCCTAGATCCTAGCACTTAACTTCTGAAATTGTTTAATAACTAAGTATACAAGTGAATGAAAGAAAAAGGTGCGGCAGGAAACAGTCTCGGATACAGATGTTTGCCCTCCGAGAATGTCAAAGGCTGGGCTGGGGTAAAGGACTGGAGGGGTGCTGCTGCTCACCTTCTGCATGCTAAGTGTGATCTGGCCTCCCTGAAAGCCCGAGGAACTCCCAGACACATAGTAGCCAGAGTTGAGCTGCAGAGAAAACAGACACAAAGGATGTGAGGGGCAGAAGCTAGAGTCCCAGGTACTCAATTTGGCTCCATCCGCTCCCGCACCTGCTCCAAGGCCTCTGCCAAGTGCTTATTGAGCTTCTGTTCTCGCTTGCGCAACTTCTCAATGTCCCACTGGAGGTCCTCCACTGTCGTCTCCATCTCCAGGACCTTGGTCTCTGTTGATGTCACTTTATCTTGGAGCTCAGAGTACTGCAGGCAATGGAAAGTGGCTTGGTTTCCTAAGAAAGACCCTTAGGTGGCAAACCAAACCCTGCCCTGGTTCTAACTGCATCCAGAAGCCCCTGATCCCCACCTCCAGTGAGATGCGGTGATGCTTCTCCTGCAGCTGGGTGGCCAAGTCCTGGAGTCGACGGTTCTCTCTGCCCAGCTCCCGGGTGCGCACCCGAGCCACCTCCCCAGGGGCTTCACTGTCCCCTAGGAATGCAGAGCCCAGGTTGAGAGTCAAGCCCTGGATAATCCCGGAGTTTCCGTGCTGAGTGTGATGCACCAGCTGTCTCAGCGAAGCTAGCTCAGGAATAACCGTTTGGCTGACACTAGGTAGGGGACTGACGATAGAAGAAAGAAGCCTGCTGTCACAAAAAGCTGGGGTACCTGCCTCTCGGGACAGTGGGATAACAGGCACCTTAGGGGTTTGTACAGTGTTCCAGAGAGCCCTCTCACTGGAGGGTCTGACCCTACCAGAGACAACAGTTCCTCCAGTCATCTCTCTGGGGTCCCACTTCAGGAATCAAAGGCGAAATCCCCATCTGGAACTCAGTGGTTCCAACAAGAACAAGGCTAACTGTTCATTGGGAACTCTGTCCTCAAGGAATTACTGAGATTAGGGAGGAGACGCCTAAGGATGCAGGTGGGGACGGACTTCTCTAGGACAGTGTCTAAAGAACTAACCCCGGCTATAGACTCGCTGACAGAGTTCTTCCACCTGCCGCTGGAGGCGGTCCGAGGCCTCTACCACCCGAGACACAGCAGCCTTGGAGAACTCCATCCGTCCCTGCAGCTGCAGCTCCACCTCCTCGCTGCTGCTGGCACCCAGCGCCACCACAAAAGCCAAGGCTGGCTCACTGAGAGGGGTTCGAAACTGCATTGGCATGGGTTCTGGAAGGGACAGATAACCCCCATAATAAAGGGAATAAAAGCAGCAGTGACCATCAAACTATACCATGTTCCAAAATGAGCTCTTCAATCTCAAGAGCTAATTAATACAGCCTGCAGTGTACTCTTGCCCTATCTAAACAGGGAGATACCTAAAATTTAAATAACTAATCTCCTTTTCTTTTGTGAGACAGAACGGGATATTATTTGGCCTCACTCAAACACACAGAAATCCACCTGCTTTTGAGCCCCCAGGGCTGGGATTAAAGGCATGTACCACCATGTCTAACAATGGTTAATTTTCTTAAGGAGCGGCAGCATCACATCCTCAGAGAAGGCTCCTCTGCCTTCCCAATCTGAAGTAGAACCCAGCCTCCCACCGCATTTATTCCTTTCAGCGGTCCCAATTCTTTTCACTTACTATGGTTATATAGTTTCCTTTATGGCAAGAATATATTTCTTTCTGTTTACCTTTGATCCCTCTATGTCTAGAATAAACCCATAATTACTATTGAGTATTCCTTTTCTTTCTTTTTTTCTTTTTAATTTTCACACCTGTGATCTGTTTAAGATTGCCAAAGACTCAAGGCCAGTTCAGTTTTGTTTTGTTTTTTAACAACAGAGGCTGGGCAGTGGTGGTGCACGCCTTTAATTCTAGCACTCAGGAGGCAGGAGCATCTCTGAGTTTGAGGCCAGCCTGGTCTATAGATGGAATGCCAGGACAGCCAGGGTGACATAGGCCTTGCTTCAAAAGACCATAACTGAATAAATAATAAATTAGAAAAAAAAATAGGGATCCACTTGCTTCTACTTCTCGAGTGCTGGGATTATGAAGATCCAATCAGATTCTAAAACTTTGTTATAACTCACCATTTAATTTTTTAAATTGTTTTTGAGACACAGTCTCTCCATGTAGCTAAGTAGCCATGGCTGGCCTAGAACTCTAGAAGAGAACCACCAGCTTCTGCCAACCGAGTGCTGGGATTAAAGGTGTGCTCCACCACAGCTGGCATGAAATCAACTTTAAACAGCTGTGGGTGGGGTGGGCATTTCAGCAGATCAACATCAAAGCCACCTCCTTCTCCAGACTTTTCTCAGAATTTAAGGTCCCCAGGGCTCTGGTCCTACCCCTCAGATCTGATGTCCCTGGGTCTGTTCGAGGGATAACATCACGGGTTAGCCCCTCCTGGAACCCAGGTGCCTCTGTTCCCGAAGACAGCTCTCTCTGGCGCTCGTGGCATCGGAGAAGGGCTTCTACGGTTTCATCCAGCTGAAAGAAGAAAGAACCAAAGAGGTTATGAATGCCTCAGTGCCTTTTCCAGCAGGGCAGTCTTCGGGCATCCACCTGGGCCCAGTAGCGGTTGACAATGAGGAGCGTGGCGTCATCAGTGGCCTGCCTCTTTTCCAGTTTCTCAATCCTCTCCCGGAGCTCATCCTCACAAGCTTGCCGCTGCTCCAGTCGCTCCGCCAGCTTCTTGTTCTTGAACTGCAGTACCTTGGAATCCATCTCCTCCTACCAGGGGGAAGAGACGGCAGAGGAGTGTCAGGCAGGGTCTTGAGCCATCACAGAGACAAGGGAGGGCGACTAGATTAAAGGGGAGCAGTATACTAAGGCTAGCTACCAGTGAAATCTAAAGACTCAGACATATACAGAGAGCTTCACATTCTGTTTCTACCACTATCTTTTTCTAACAAGTTTTTAACAAATCGCACGACTTACGGGAACATATTTATGTGTGAGTAGGAGAGAACGACTCTACAAAGTTCTTCTCTGATCACACGCGTGCCATGCCCCCCTCCGCCCCCGTTGTGTGTATATATACACACACACACACACGTGCACACACAAGATTCTGAACGCTTTGGGCTGAGGCCAAACATGACTTTAGCAAAAGCCCACCAACCGTGGAAGAGATGCCCCCAAGACGGATGGGCTCGATTAGAGTGGTCGTGGTCTTCTCCTCGCGGTTCAGCTTCTTCTCTGGGGGTCCTGAGCCCCCGTCGCCGGCGGCGCGCTTATTGCTGAGGCCAGACATAGCGGCGGCGGCGGCGGGGCAGCTCAGGGCTCTCCGGGGCCGTCAGGCGGGCGGAGGCGGCACTTCCGTCACCTGCCGAGAACAGAGGGCAGAGCTACGGACGCGTCCGGGGCTCCGGAGCCCCGAGCGTCCCGGGGGCACCCCAGCCGGACCCCGCCCCCGCTGGCCAGGGTCCGCACCCACGGCAGGGTCAGCCGAGCGCCACCATCTTGGACTTCACCGGACGTCACCGGCCGCCAGACGCACAGCGCAGGCGTCAGAGCAGCTCCGGATGTGGCGAAACTTATTTCCTGTTTCTATTGGTGGCTTTAGGTTCCGCCTCTTGAGTCTTTTAGTTTTTTTTCGCGATCGACTGTATGTCTCTCCATGATTGGCCAGCAGGCTGTTCCCATAGTTACTGACACCTCAGTTGCACTTTGCAGCCCAGGAGATGAAGAGGTGGACCTGCAGTTGGAGACTTTACTGCTATTGAGAGACCCGGTTCACGACCACCTGTACCTCCGATCCAGGTGATCGAGGTGATCCAGGTGATGCGTCGCCGTCTTCTGGCCTCCGTGGACACCCGCGAACGCACACGCACGCACACACACACACACACACACACACACACACACACACACACACACACACACACACACAGAGTTTTCTTTCCTTTTTTTCGAGACAGGGTTTCTCTGTGTAGCTTTGCGCCTTTCCTGGAACTCGCTCTGTAGACCAGACTGGCCTCGAACTCACAGAGATCCACCTGCCTCTGCCTCCCGAGTGCTGGGATTAAAGGCGTGAGCCACCACCGCCCGGCCACAATTTCTTTTTAATTAAATCTTTAAAAAGAGTGACCCCTACAAGCAACTTTGAAGAGGCACGTGCAACTTGTTACGCATGCGCTCTATCTTCTCAATGATTGGCGTGCGCTTGTATTTTCTACTTTCCTTAACAACGGTCACCGGGGAGACTAGATCGGGAAGACGCCCCCTGTGGATTGGCTGCCACTCGCTTCACCGCCTGTGGAGAACCACTAGAAGGGGCAGGTCCGGGCATTGCAGTGGGAGAGCCGGCTGTCCCAGATCCCAGGCAGGAGAGCGCCTGGCTGCGGCTCAGAAGGACGCAGAGATGATCGACCCCACATCCAGCCAGATCATGGGTGTTAAGGTGCAGTCGGAATTTGAACAGCTCCCCAAACTGCAGCAGGATCTGGAGAGGTGTCCCAGCTCGGTGGGTGGATTGGCTATGAGGACTGGAACAGACGTGCCGACCGAGTCCGCCGCATCGGCCACTACCTCTATGGACATGGCTGAAGATCCTGGAGCCAACTTATTCCCGGTGAGGGCCGGACCGAGTTGTCCACTAGTGAATATTTATAACAGGCTTCCCGGTAAGGCGCCGCCGGCCACTACATTTACTAACTTTTGAGACATTTCTGGAGTTAATAGGCTGCTAAATAGTATTAAGCCCACCAAAACCAAGCCTCGCCCCCTTTACTACACATGAAATCATAGCATTCTCAGACCCGCTAGACGTTCACGACGGGCCATGGACTAGGGGCCGCGTACTGTAATAGCTCTTCTTTCTATAATCTGTTTTCTCTCCACAGCCACCGCTACCCCAGCCCCGGATCTGTATGTGGTGAGTGTGGAGAGCCCGGGGGGAAAAATCACACTTCTCATTTTTATTATTCCTTTAAGGTCTCCCCAACAGTCTTATCCAGCAGCCAGGGTACCCCAATTTTACAGATGAAGAGACTGAGCTGAGAGATGCTCAAGGTGACCAAGTCACCAGTGTTCCAGGCTCCTCAGTCCAAGGTGGCAGTGTGAGAAGACAGACAAGTACCAAGCATGTAAACATGATGGAGCACTGTGCAGATTGATACCAAGACCCTGGGGGACTTCACCATGGTCACATATAGCAAGACAAGAACTCAGATTTTCTAATCATTGGATTTATAGATAAAAGGTCTCCTAAGGGTTCATCTAGAGTCTAGATCCTAGACCATAATGTTCTTCACTTACAGTGGAGGTGAGGTCCACAAAAATGACTTAGCAAGTTAGCCAAGCCTCAACTCCTGATCCCCAGTCCAGTGCTCCAGAAGTCATGGCCCCGTTGGGGAAGTTATATCAGCCATCAATCATTTGTCTCATCTTTTCCTGACAGGAAATACCTGGACATCCATTCTATGCACAGACTGGAGAAGGCAGCCACTGTGGAAGAGATGAGAGAGTATGGGTTTGAGTTGGGAGAGACAGAGCTGGTGGGGGCACTAGGAATGGAGGGCTAAAGCATAGAGTGTCAGGTGATGGGGATGAGGAGAGGCTTGTGTCTAGGGCTGCAGAAGCAGCTCAGCGGTTAAGAGCACTGGCCGTTCTTCCAGAGGACCCAGCTTTGGTTCCCAGCACCCACATGGTCTGTAATTCCAGTTCCCAAGGATCCAACACCCTCTTCTGGCCTCCCTGGGTACCAGACAAACACATGGTACACATACACACATGCAGGCAGAATACCCATACCCACATAATAAAACTAAATCCTGAGGTGAGGGCGGGTGGGGGAACCTGTCTAGTCACTCATTCCTTCCTCTCCCTCCCAAGGGTTCTGGCTGAGCTCTTGGAGCTTGGCTGTCCTGAACAGAGCCTACGGGATGCCATTATCTTGGACCTCTTTTCCCATGTGCTCATCTTCTGCCGCCAGCAGGGCTTTTCACTAGAGCAGACATCAGCAGCTTGTGCCTTGCTCCAAGATCTTCACAAGGCCTGTGTTGGTGAGAGGGAGGCAGCCACCAAAAGCGTTGAGCCCCAGGAGAGGAGGCTGGGCTAGCACAGTGACTGTGGGAAGCAGAAGTAGGGAGACTGCCATCTGGGGCTTTTGTTCCACTATAACTAGTATTATTGCACCACATTTTTTATCACCTTTGAGGTCTGTTTCCTTATTGATAAATGAAACATATGGTAATAGTGTTATGGGTCTGTTCTGAGAAATATATAAATTGGGGGCTGGGGATGTAGCCCAGTTAGTAGAGTGCTTGCCTAGCATCTGCAAAACCCTGGGTTCAATTTCAGCACTGTGTAAATCAGGTGGGGTGGCACACACCTGTGAGAATCAGAAGTTCAAGGTCATCCTCAATTATGAAGTGAGTTCAAGGCTATCCTAGGCAACAGGCGACCCTCTCTCAAAAACAAAGTACCACCGAGGCAGTGGGGGCGCACGCCTTTAATCCCAGCACTTGGGAGGCAGAGGCTGGCTGATATCTGTGAGTTTGAGGCCAGCCTGGTCTACTGAGTGAGTTCCAGGACAGCCAAGGCTGCATAGAGAAACCCTGTCTTAAAAAACCAAAAAAAAAAAAAAAAAAAAAAGAACAAAGTAGCTTCCTGATGCCAGGTCTGGTGGGCTCAAGCCTGAAACCCCTGTGCTTAGGAGGCTGAGGCAGGAGCAATGCCATCAGTTTGAGGTCAACTTGAGTTACACAGTGAACTCCACACTAGCCCGAAGTACAGAATGAAGCGCTGCCTCTGAAACCCCCTAGGAAAGTCTATAGTGAGAACTTGGTATTTGTTGAGTGAATGAATGAAACCTGTCCACTTCCGAATCCCCTGCTCTGCAGCAGTGGGGTGTAAGGGCGCAGGGTAGGAGGGCTGACCGATTCACCTGGCTTTCTTCCAGCTACCCCTTTGGGCAATGTGGAGGAGTGCTACCGTTACTTTACGAGCAGTCTCTTCTGCCATGGAGTCAGGGTAAGATCTAGCCCAAATTCCCGTTTGCTCCCACCACCCTCTTCCTCTGAAGGTGCCCTGGGGTCCTCCCCTGCTCTTAGACAGCTGTGCTTTCGGAGGACGAGCCAGGTGGGCTTCTGCAGGCTGTCATGGCACTTAACTCCTAATTGCCATCGCAGCGGCCCCCTTTTAGCATCGACCTCTTTAAAGAGGAACAGCTGCTGGCGTTGGCAGACTATGTGGTCAACACCTACTTCCGCCACTTCAAGCTCTACAAATATGTCTTCACACCCCAGGTACTGTGTACAGGCAGCGAGTGGTCCCGTCTCCCCTTCCGCTTCCGGCAGGTGCTGTCCTCTCAGCCTCCCTCTTCCCTTGTTTCACCAGGTTCGGCTGGACCTGTCTTTGACTTACATGGGGCTACAGCTACCCAAGTCCTGGCCGGAGGGTAAGATGGGTACAGGTGGACCAGGCTGGGACTGTGCCAAGGCTGGGGACTAAGACCTCTTCCTGCTTCTGTCGTGCAGAAAAAGAAGATGGCGAGGCCACAGCAGAACAAGGAGCTTCTCCACAGGAGGAAGAACCAGAAACTGTGACCCAGCCAGAGCAACAGCCAAGTGAGCACTTTAGGGGGTTAAGGTGCCACGGGACTCTGTGTCAAGGTCAAATGAAGGGTTTGGGTCAATTTGAGTTCATTGTCCCTACAGACACCATTTTGTTTTCTGATACGGGGGAATGAAGCTAGAGCCGTTTGCATAAGCATTTTACCACCAAACTGCACATCCTCAGCCTACCCCCACCCTCTTTTTTGGGACAGGGTCTATTTAGTCCTGCCTGTTCTGGAACTATGTAGATCATGCTGGCCTCAAACTCCTAGAGACCCTCCTGCCTCTCCTTCTTAACTGCTGAGCCATCTTTCCAGTCCCTTGTTTTTTTTTTTTTTTTGGTTTTTCGAGACAGGGTTTCTCTGTGTAGTTTTGCGCCTTTCCTGGAACTCACTTTGTAGACCAGGCTGGCCTCGAACTCACAGAGATCCTCCTGCCTCTGCCTCCCGAGTGCTGGGATTAAAGGCGTGCGCCATCACCGCCCGGCTCAGTCCCTTGTTTTATTAGAGACAGAATGAGAATGTGTGGAGACCAGAGGGCTTTGGGGGTCAGCCCTCCTTCCACCTCTGTGGGTTCTGAGGATTGAACTCAGGTTTCAGGCTTGTACAGCAAGCTCTTTACCCACTGAACCATCCCGCTAGCTCTTGTTTTATCTTTTTGAAACAAGGTCTTGCTGTGTAGCCCAGGCAGCTTTGAACTCAAGATCCCCTTGTTCAAGCTCCTGGGTGATGGGGTGGTTGAAGTGCTCCACTATACCCAGCTAGGAACATAGTTTTAGTTCTGGTGTCCCCTAAAATTTCTTGAGATTTGTGTCTTTTGATTTTATGTGTCTGGCAGTTTTGCTTACATGTACATCTGTGTACCACATGTGTGCAGAACCCACAGAAGAGAGAAAGGGTCTGAATGCCCTTGGAACTGGAGTTGCTGATGGTTGTGAGTGCCATGTGGGTGCTGAGAACTGAACCTAGATCCTCTGGAAGAGCAGTCAGTCCCTTTAATCACTGAGCCATTTCTCCAGCCCCATGTCCCCTCTAGAAATAATTCCTTGTGCCAAAGTCCAGATAATAGTGTAACTCCTCGGGTGTTGCTATGCGTAGAAAAGGTGACCCCAGAGAGAGAATGACAGGAGAGTGCCTGACAATAGCAAGTACAGACCTGTAATGCTAGGTTCCCGAGTGCCCGCTTCTAAACATGCCGTGCATATTAACTCAATCCTGTGGTCAAAGAATTGTTACCATCCATGTTTTTCATGAAGAGGCTGCCTGACGTCAGACTCACGTACAGTCAGAATCTGAATCCAGAGAGTGTAGTTTGGCCACTCTGCCCAGCGGACAGTTCCTGAACTGAAGCAGCACTCCGCATGGCTCATCCCCAGGTTAACACCCCCTTCCTGCTCCTCTCCCTGTAGGTGAGGTGTGCATCCTCCAAACCTATATCAAGACCCAGCTGAGCAAGGAGCTGAGGCAGCTGCAGCAGCTGGTGGAGGGACGGCTCAAGGAGAGCGAGGAAAGGATGAGCAGCAAACTGGCTGCCCTGGAGCGGCCCTATCAGCCCCCGCCCAGCAAAGGCAAGGCCAAGACCAAGTGATCCCCAGCATCCTCTCCAATAAAGACCTGACCAGAGCAGCCCATCCCCCACCTTCATGAGCACCCTCGTGCTTCCCTGTGCAGCCGGACAGCAGGCATGGGCGCTGGCTGTCCCAGGCTCGTAGCAGTTTTATTTCAGATGCATCACAGACAGCGATGACAAGGCCAGGCACGACATGGGAAGAGGTTCCCCTCCACCTCAGCCCTGACCTCCAAGTCCAGGATGGGTGGAGGTAGAGGGCTGGTTTCTGCGATGAGTACCATTATCAGTGGTAGACTTGGCAAGGCAGGGCTAAGGTCAGAGACCCAACAGGCTGGAATGATAAAAAAAAAAAAAAAAAAAATCTCCTCCTGGAGAGTCCTGCTTTTTGGCTTGTCAGAGATGAGGTCCTAGCCCAGCACCAGTGCAGCCTCATCCTCTGTGATGGCGTTGGAGTCCCCTTCTTCTTCAGTGGCCACAACAAAGAAAGGCCTAGGAGGCTGGTGCTGGAAGAGGGCGGCCCGGTTCTGCTGCTCGCCCTTCTTCACCCAGTGCCCGTAGAGCCGGAAGGCACAGTTGTCGATGAGGCGCCGGACTGGCCGCAGTGCATAGGGGTCTCTCAACAGTGCATTCTTGGTTAGCGGTCGTAAACGGTGAGTGCTTAACGCCACTCGTCCAGCAGCCAGTATTGTCCACACTGCCACCTGGGAAAAGGGACAGTATTTGCCCCACTAAAGCACCCAGCACAGGGAACAGGGCAAGGCCCAGGTGTAGACCCTGCCACTCTCAGGCTTACCCGGAACTTCTGTCGTGGTGTGAGGTTCCAGGATTGGCTGCCTTCACAGCGCTCAAAGAAGGGGTGCTGCAGGGCCTGCTCGGCAGTCAAGCGCTCCTCAGGATCCACCTGCAGCAGCCTTGAGATCTAGAGAAACCTTAGAGCATGAGAGTCGGATCTTGGGTCTTCCCTAGTGTCCTCTCATGGCCCCTCCCCGCTACTCACCAGATCTTTGACGGTGTTTGAACGATCATCCCACTCGGGTGAACTAAACTGGTATTGACCTTCCATGATCATGCGCAGCATTAGGATTTGGCGCCGGTGCCAGAATGGTGGCGAGCCAGCCAGAAGTGTGAACAGGATCACCCCACAGGCCCAGCTGAGAAGGAGACCATGGTTAGGCTGGCCTGGGTAACAAGCAAGGACATGACACACAGAAGGGGAAGGAAGGACGGCACAACTCACAGGTCGACTTCCTTGCCGTAGCCTGGGTGGGTTTCATCCATGGAGCATCTAAGGATCTCTGGTGCTAGATACCCTGGAGTCCCACACAACTCTGGGGAGAGAGGGCAGAAGACTGAGGGAATGCCACTAGCCCTGCAGAGCACTAAACACAGAGCCTTCTCAGTTCTGCCAGAGCACTAGTGTCCCTTTCTGCTGAGCCTCAGAGCAAGGCCATGTCCCTGGCTAGCCAACTACATTCCTGCCACAGCTGACCGTGGCCTTCTTAGGAATGCCCACACAGTTTGTGAAGGACTTCAAGGCCTTCCTCAACCACATCTTTTCCCTCCTCCACCTTCAAGCCAAGTCAAGCTGCACACTCCTCAATACATCTTGTTACCACATTATTAGATACATAATACATTGAAAAGCAAAATTCAAAGTTTGGCTGCGTTACTTTCCGCCAAGTCTATTCTCCCTTTCATAGGTTCCACTCTGAGTGGCACCCCCACCCAACCAACAGAGAACAAACAGAAATATGGGTTCTTTTAGATTCTCTTTAATTTGAAAGACAGGATTTTTTTTTCTTCTAGTACCTGGGGTTGTACCGAGGGTTTCATACATACTAATCAAGTATTCTATCACTGAGCTACATCCCCAGCCTGGGATTTTTTTTTTTTTTTCAGACAGGATCTCACTGTGTAGCCTTGGCTGGCTTGGAACTGACTCATTATGTGGAGCAGGCTGCCCTCGGAATCAGATCTGCCTGCCTCTACTTCCTGAATGCTGGGATTAAAAGAGCGTGCCACTACACCCAGCACAAGCCTGGAACGTCTTAAAGCACATGGGGGAGGCGGGAGGTAGTCTCTATTTAAAACCCTTCCTTGAGCTGCATATGGTCTACATGAACTATGCTGGTCTACATAGCTCGTTCCAGGACAGACAGGGCTACATAGAGAGTCCCTGTCTCAAAACAAAAAAACCCACAAAACCCTAAAACCCTTCCTTGGTGCTCTACCATGGCATCAGGATTGGATCTAGGTTCCTCCATCACTTACACAAATCTGTATTTTTAGTTTCTTTTTACCACTCAAAGGTACCAATTCTTTGATTTCAGAAATTCCAAACTATTCCATGTTGTACTTCTAAGAGAATTAAATAAGCCTAAATGGAAAAAGACTGGGAACAAGTATTTGACTATGTAGCACGTACTAAGAGCTCTATTAGACGGTCTTGAGGTAGAAGTACCTCTCCCAAGCCCACTGTCTTCCAGGAAGCAAGTAAGAAGTAGCAGAGTGTAAGCCATGTGATAAAGAAAATACAAAAACGGGGGAACTTCCTGAGTGGAGGTTTAAAGTGAAACCTGAATCAAGCCAAGAAAGAGGGTGAAGCAGATGGGCAAAGGATTCCAAAGAGAGGTATGTGGAGACCCAAAGGGAAAAGAAGTACAGCGTCCCCAAGTCACAGTCAGGCTGCAAAAGTGCAAAGCCTGGGTGAGCGACTTGGGCAGGTCACGTCTTCACGCCTAGTTATAGAAAGGAGACTCTGTTTATCTCCCGCTACTGTTGAGAAGATCAGGGAAGTAAGCCACAGCACAGAGATGTGGTGTGGTGCCTGCCCATGGTAAATGCCCGTTATTTCATAGCTGTTAGCACGTGAAGTGCAAACCAACAAGGGCAAGATAGCTCATGAGCAGCCCATCTTGGAATTCTTACACTTGAATGTGCTTGAAGTTTTCCACCTGCATTGAAATACTGTGTGTGTGTGTGTGTGTGTGTGTGTGTGTGTGTGTGTGTGTGTGACATGTTAGGCCAATGCTGACATTGGCCGTCTTCCTCAATTATCTTCTACTTTATATATTTAGGCAAGATCTCTCACTTGAGCCCAAAGCTCCACTCATTCAGATAGTCCAATTAGCCAGTTTACTCCAAGGATCCTGTCTCCTTGCCTCGTACATGCTGGTATTTCCGTGGCTGCTGCCGTCTAAACTCTGGTCCTCAAACTGACAGGGCAAATGCTTTATCTGCTGGGCCATCTTCCCAGACCCAGAAATTTTCTTTTTTTCTAAAGATTTATTTATTGTGTATACAGTATTCTGCCTGCATGTATGCCTGCAGGCCAGAAGAGGGCATCAGATCTCATTACAGATAGTTGTGAGCCACCATGTAGTTGCTGGGAATTGAACTCAGGACCTCTGGAGGAGCAGCCAATGCTCTTAACCTCTGCGCCATCTCTCCAGCCCCGCAGAAATATTTATCACACTGACTGCATAACATCGTGCAAGCTCTGGCTCCCAGGGCCCAGGTGAGCTGCTCTACAAGGCTGGCTGGACAAACCAGGCCCCTCACAGCAGTGAAGCACCAGAGGTCTTGTTTTATCTACACCTCAAACAAACTACTGGGTCCTTCTAGCCCCACTCTTTCTTTCTTCCTAGGACAAAGTCCAGCTCGGGAGGCCCCTCCTCTGTGGATCCCTCAGGTTGAACAGTGTTCCTTTCTTCTAGCTTCCTTGGCATAGTCCTCTGCTTATCTATCTCCAATCTCCCAGGTAAAGAAGGCCACTGAGTTGCACAAAGCCTTTGCATCAAGAGGGTACTCAGCACCGGGCGGTGGTGGTGCACGCCTTTAATCCCAGCACTCGAGAGGCAGAGCCAGGTGGATCGCTGTGAGTTAGAGGCCAGCCTGGTCTACAGAGCGAGATCCAGGACAGCCAAAGCTACACAGAGAAACCCTGTCTCAACCCCCTCCCCCCCCCCCCAAAAAAAAGGATACTCAGTATGTATTCACTTTATTTTCCTTGGCATCTGGGACTCAGTTCTCAACCTGGCCAGCCAACCTCAAGCATTGGTCTCCTTCCCTCCCAAGTCTCATAAGGCACCTGGTCCCCTCACCTCGAAGCTTTTCACCAGGTTCCAAATGGCAGGAGAACCCAAAATCTGAAAGGCGGATCTGCATATTGTCGTCTAGGAGAATATTCTCAGGCTTCAGGTCTCGGTGTACAATGTTGTTGGCATGGAGAAAGCTCACTGCTTCCAGCAGAGACCTCATGATGGACCTGGGTGAGGCACAGACTAAGTCCTCTTCTGCTTCTCCCTGTACCACTCCCCTGTACATCCCAGGGGCATTAGGCCCTACCGGTACCTGGTTTCCTTTTCTGAGAGGGCCACCTTCTCCGTGAGATAGTCAAATAACTCTCCTTTCCGCATCCTAAGGGAGTGGGGGAGGGGAGAAGAGGCAGATGCACCCTATTGAGAAGAGGTCAAGGCTAGTGAAGAGAGAAACCTCTGTGGCCAGCAGAAGCATGGGAGAGAACATTCCAGGAGTGAGCTGCATTCCAGGGCAGTTTTGACACAGTGGGTCAGTGGCTGAAATGTCCTTAATGTGCCATGAAGGGACACTTTTAGTAAGAAGAGTGATTTCTTGTGACAGTAATTCACAGGAGGTCTTTCTTATCTGAGAGGAACTATAGCTGTAAGAGACCTCTTAAAGTTAATATTTAGAACATGGGCCAAAAGTTCAATTAACACTTACCAAAAGGTAGAAAGAGACTATTTTGGAATTTGCTATTTTATCATCCTTTAAAATTGAGGTCACAGCCAAGTGTGGTGACACACACCTTTATCCCAGCATTTGGGAGGCAAAGGCAGAAGGATTTTTGTGAGTTAAACACCAGGCTAGCCAGGGCTACAAAGTGAGATCCTGTTTCTAAAAAACAAAACAAAACAAAACAAAAAAACAAAACCAACCCTCCCCCCCAAATACATACAAAAATAAGCATAATAAAATTGAGGTTATAGGGCTGGAGAGATGGCTCAGAGGTCAAGAGCACTGCTTGCTCTTCCAAAGGTCCTGAGTTCAATTCCCAGCAACCACATGGTGGCTCACAACCATCTGTAATGAGATCTGGTGCCCTCTTCTGGCCGGCGGGGATATGTGCAGACAGAACACTGTATACATAATAAATAAACAAAACTTTAAACAAAATTGAGGTTATAATTACAATTCTGATCAACACTCAAAACAGATTGTCATTGACCTGCAACATTTCCTATTTTCCCTGAGATTTTTGCAGAGGGCCATTTGACAGCTTCATGAATGTTTTTCTGAAGGTCCTGTTAATCTTTGGTATTTAGATTACTCCCTCCTCTTCCAGATACAGGATCTTGGTACGGAGCCCATGCTAGCCTTGAATCTGCAATCCTCTTGCCTCAGCCTCTGGAGTACTGGGATTACAGGCATGATGCCTGGCTAAATAATACTCCTGAAATCCGTTGCACTCTATCATATAACAGAACATCAGATTCAGATAAACCAAAGCAAAAGAACCCACAGGCAGAGGTGGACAGCAGTGCCATATGGTAAGTGAGGAAAGACTGCTGAGTGAGGAACTTTAAGGAATTGGTTCATTGGTGAATACTTGGTGCCAAGTCTTTTCCATCCCAGTCATTTTATAACCATGAGGGGCTGGGACAGGGACCATTTTGATTGATCACTCTTGAAATATTTGCCTCCATCATGGCACATAGAAGAAGGCCTGAGCCTTGAGCTTTCAGGGAGGCAGAGCAAGACATAAACAGAGTGGTCCCTGCCCATGGAGCTGTAACACTGGGGCCACACATTCTCGGATGGGCGGGGTGATACTCACAGGTCAAACACCAGGAACATGAAGCTAGAAGACTCGTAGGAATCGATGAGAGTGACTGGGGAAAGAGGCAGAAAGGCAGAGAGAGATGGAAAGGATACACATCACAGGCGCTTTTCCACCCAAAGGTAGCACTAGACTATTATACTGGGAAGGAAGGAGTACCAAGGAGGCCACAGGGACCCCAAGACTGGCCGTTCTTGGAGGCAGAGAGTGAGGGGAAGAGCAGAGAGACCTACAGGCAATTCTAGGGTGTGGGTTAGGAACAGGGCTAGCAGACATGGCGGGTGTCAACCAGCAGGAACAGAGAATGCAGCCTCACTGATATGGGGGTGGCCAGCGACCTGGCGAAGGATGTTCATCTCTCGCTGTGTGGCTTCCCGGACCTCCTCCAGCTGCTCAGGACTCAGCCGCTCAGCTGTCACCTCCATGATCTTCACTGCAAACTCATCACCAGTAGCCCGATGGACACAGCGGCGGACCACAGAGCTTACGCCTCTAGCAGAATCAAATGATTGTCAAGTCAGGTCCCCACTCTCTTCAACTTCCTCATCCTTTTTCTTTTCCTCCCTCTCTTCCTCTCTTATTTAATTTTAATTAATTAATTAATTAATTAATTAATTAATTGCGGCAGGGTCTCACTATATAGTTCTGGCTGTCCTGGAACTAACTATGTAGAACAGGGTGGCCTCGAACTCACAGAGATCTGACTGCTTTTGCCTTCCAAGTGCTGGGATTAAAGATGTGTGTCACTATTATCCACAAGACTGAGTCTTGTTATGTTGCTATGTAGCCCCGCCTGGCCCTGAACTCAGTCCTCTTGCCTCAGCTGTTTAAATTCTGAGATTACAAGCACGCACCACATCTGGCTTTTCCAGTCTTACTTCCATATATAATAGAGCCTTTGGACCATTATACTTACTATACCAGACTCTCAAGACCCATTTGACAACAGCACAAGTACCAGAGGAACAAACCCTGGCCTATAATAGCTCCACAGTGTCCTCAGGCATGTTTGTACCAACCAGCAAGTTGCCACACAAAGCCCACAGGAACTCCGGCAGATAACTTGGGTGAAACACAGACTAGATCAGGGCTTACACACTGAGCAAGGCTTTTCACAGTCCCAGAGTTTGCCCCTGGCAGGAAGTGGCAAGAAACTATCTCCAGTCTCCATCCAAACCCCAAACCTCCTTGTACCCTGTCACACTCTACGTGTAAGAAAAGATCTGTTAAGACTAAGACCTCAGTGTAGGCCCCAAATCTGCCACCAGCTGATCCAGAAATGACCCAATGACTCATCTGGACTTAACCTTCTTGTTCTTTTTTTTGTTTTTGTTTTGTTTTTCAAGACAGGGTTTCTCTGTGTAGCATTGGAACCTGTCCTGGATCTCACTCTGTAGACCAGGCTGGCCTTGAACCCACAGAGATCCGCCTGGCTCTGCCTCCCAAGTGCTGGGATTAAAGGCATGCGCCACCACCGCCTGGCTGGACTTTATCTTCTACAACTCTGAAACGTGGACAAAACTATCTCAACGGGATGTTGGAAATGTTAGTAAGACAGGGGCAGAAAAGTCCACTTGGCTTTTGTAAGAGGCACATGGATTTCCATGCGTGGGCTCTGTCATCAAAACATATTTCTTATGCTGATTTCCTGGTTGTCCTTTACATGACCTTACCTCTGTGTTCTCTTTTGCATCCATTGCCTCATACACATAAGTCCCTTTGTTTAGAATTTTGTCATCCATATCACAGTAAATGGCACATACAAACTTACTGTCAGGTCAAATGTAGTGTAGCCACGGGTGGTTATGTCACCTTCGGCCATATCTTAACTGGACTGTTGACACTTTCACCTCTTCCTACTGTCTTATTCTCAGTCACTTTAAGCTTATGGTCTAATTGGCATGTATGTATGTATGTATGTATGTATGTAGTGGAACTCAGGACCTCACACACGCTAGGGAAGCATTCTACAATTAAGCTACATTTTCAGTCTCTAGTCAGCTCATCTTTAATAAACTTCATTTAAGAATCTTGTAATTTCAGGAAGTTCAAAGGCTCAAGTCATCTAGACCAGACTAATTGCTACCTCCACCAATTCTATGTCTGTTCTCTGGTAGAAAGGAACAACGCCCTCCTCGAGCATCCCATAAGCCTTTTATTTTAATGTCACTTAGTCTTTAGTAAGTAAGCCTTTCCAGTAAGAGTCTAGTTCATTTCAAGGGGAAAGCCAAGTCTTAAGACTCAAAGCCCAATCTTTTTTCTGCCTTGTTCTTTGCCCACTCCTTAGAGGTCAGCCTTAGGCTAGGAGAAGAGTGTAGGGGTGGTGTGCTTGCTGAGCATGGAACAACAATGCCAGAATAGAGGGCTGGGCTGTAGCTCAATGGTAGGGTACTTACTTAGCATGTGAAAGTCGCTGAGCTCAAACCCAGCCCCTCAGCTCCCCCTCCAAAAACCTGCCAAAACAAATCAATAGCGCTGAGTATGTCTGCCCATGCCTGTCACTATAGCACTCAGAAGGCTGAGGCAGAAGAATGTTGAGTTCCAGGCCAACCGTGGTGACACAGAGGCTGTCTCAAAAATAACAAATATAAATAAAGCAAATAAGTAAGTCGAGCTTGCCCAGGGCTCCATCTTTAGCCCTGAACATTCGCCCTGAGTATCTTCTGCACCTCTGTGACCTCAACCTCTAAGCCCAGCTATTTCCCTTGTCAGAACATGTCTTCCTGGACATCTTTCCTTGTGGATCATAAAGACATTTCATATCTCTTGTGATTACTGCACCTTCTCCCAAAACTAACTTCTCTCTCCATATTTCTGATCTGTTAATGCTGTTGCTGTTCACACTCCATACTAAACTGTCCCCCTCTCTCATCCCATCCAACCACTCTGTCTAATCCACGCCCTAGGCTTCACCTCAGTGCATTTGTTGCCTCCACTGAGGTTCTCAGAACTCATCCCATACACTGCTTCCCAATCAGCTTCCTAAACACAGCTTCAATCGGGTTTCTGTTTGAAAACTTCCCAGTTTATCAGTTAACACGAGTAACAGTCTCCTCTCCTCTCCCCCACTAAAATGCTGGGGATTGAACCCAGGGCTTCATATATGCTAAGCAAGTGCTCTATCTACCAGCTGTCTGCCCCCTTTTTAGTGATACTTAGCTTGCACGCGCGCGCGCGCGCGCGTGTGCGCGCGCGCACACACACACACACACACACACACACACACACACACACACACACACACCCAAGTCTCACTGTAAGTCTGGCTGGCTTAGGAACTTGCTACACAGACCAAGCTGACCTCAAACTCAGAGTTCCACCTGCCTCTTCCTCCCTAAGTGCTAGAATTAAAAGCATGTGCCATGTGGTATTTGTTCAAGCTTACAATTAACTGTGGGATTCATTCAAAATTATTTATCGCCGGGCGGTGGTGGCGCACACCTTTAATCCCAGCACTCAGGAGGCAGAGCCAGGCGGATCTCTGTGAGTTCGAGGCCAGCCTGGTCTACAGAGCGAGATCCAGGACAGGCACCAAAACTACACAGAGAAACCCTGACTCGAAACAAACAAAAAAACAAAAACAAAAAAAAAAAAAAACAAAAAACAAAAAAAAAACCCAATGCACATAAAAAAAAATGATTAAAAAAATTACTTATCACCCTATTACCTGAAAGATAAAAATAAAATCCTAATAGACTTCCTGGTATTCTAGCTCTTACAATATTTCTGCTCCTCTTCTACAATGCACATACATACATACATAGCAATAATAATCAAAGAAAAAGAGGCTATCAACTTGAAAGTTGGGGGCATGAGAAATGTTTGAGGGAGGGTAGTGGATAGAGGAAAGGGAGGGAGAAATGATATAATTCTATTTCAATTAAAAACATATTTTAGGGGGCTGGAGAGATGACTCAGAGGTTAAGAGCACTGGCTGTTCTTCCAAAGGTCCTGAGTTCAATTCCCAGCAACCACATGGTGGCTGAAAACCATCTGTAATGAGATCTGGTGCCCTCTTTGGGCCTGCAGGGATGTGTGCAGGCAGAACACTGTATACATAATAAATAAATAAATCTTTAAAACAAAACAAAAAAAACCCATATTTTAAAAAAGAAAAAAAGGAGCCAGGAGGTGGTAGTATACATCTTTAATCCCAGCACTCAGGAGGCAGAGGCAGGCGGAGCTCTGTGAGTTTGAGGCCAGCCTGGTCTACAAGTGAGTTCCAGGACAGCTGGGTCTATACAGAGAAACCCTGTCTTGAAAAAACAAAAATATAAAAAACAAAAGAAGGGAAAAACAACATCCAATTCCAATTTCTTCACCAGCCACCTAAGAACTATCCACCAAATGTCCTCAGTCTTTCTTTAGTCTGTGCTTCAACTCAATTGTTGGCTATTTCCAGACTCCTTTATTACTTATTACTGCGTGTGTGTGTGTGTGTGTGTGTGTGTGTGTGTGTGTGTGTGTGTGCATGTATGGAGGCCAGAGGACACTTTTATGGAGTTGGTTCTTGCCTTCCTTATGTGGGTTCTAGGGATCAAACTAAGGTCAGCAGACTTGCAGACTTGGACCTCAAGCATGATACCAGCTGAACCCTCTCACTGCCCCACCAGGTTTTTGTTTTGTTTTCTTTTTCGAGACAGGGTTTCTCTGTGTAGTTTTGGTGCTTGTCCTTGATCTTGCTCTGTAGATCAGGCTGGCCTCGAACTCACAGACAGAGATCCGCCTGGCTCTGCCTCCCGAATGCTGGGATTGAAGGCGTGTGCCACCACTGTCCAGTTTCCACCAAGTTCTTTTAACACTGTAGACTTTCATCCATGAGCAATCTGATACACTTGGAAAAGTGATTTATTAATAGTATCCAAGCTGGGTATGGTGGTGGCCCACGCCTTTACTCCCAGTGCTTGGGAGGCAGAAGCAAGAGGACCTCTGAGTTCAAGCCCCGCCTGGTCTACAGAGTTCCAGGGCTACACAGAGAAACCCTGTCTCAAACAAGACAAAACAAAAAAAGAGAATGCAATTAATTTACTTGTAAGAAAGGCAAGATGTAAAAGAGGAGGAGAAAGACAAGTGGTGATGCCTCTACAGTAATCTGGGGGTGCCACCTCTGATCTGCCTCATCCCAAACCACTTTCTGTTTCCCTTGGAAGTGGAGTCAAGATTTGATTCTTCCCCACAGCTCTTATGCTTTCTGCATCCTCCTTACCTTGTCCCAAATCCTGTGACACCTCAGGATATGGATGTGGGCTCTTTTCCTTAATACACTCTGTGGTGGTTTGAATGAGGACAACCCCCACAGGCACATATGTTGGAATGCATGCTCCCTAGGAAGTGGAACTGTTTGGGAAGGATTAGGAGGTGTGTCACTGGGGATGAGCTTTGTGGATTCAAAAGTCCAAGGCAGGCCAAGTTTTGCTGTATTTGCCAGCTGCGTGTAGCTAAGATGTAAGCTGTCAGGTACCGCTCCAGCACCTGCCTGCCTGCCGCCACGCTCCCTGCCAAGACGATAATGGACCAACACTGTGAAACTGTAAGCAAGCCCCCAATTCAATGCTTTCTTTTATAAGTTGCCTTGGTCATGGTGTTTCCTCACAGCAATAGAACAGTGACTAAGACACAGTCTGTCCCCTGGTGACCTGCATTGAGTCCTAGAAGCTTTAAATATTTATGTGCAACTCACACACTATATTGTCTTTGATCCTTAATTTCTCTTTAGAATCCTGGTTCCAACTACTTAATGACATCTCCATGTGATATCGAAATGTGTCTGCCAAGTCTAATGCCACACCCCTGTCTCTCCCAGGCTTCTGAGCATTTCACATAGCAGACCCTGCCAAGCTTCTAAGAGTGCACTCTTGGGTTTTTCTCTCTAGCTCATAGGTATCTCCCCAAGTTCATTGGTAGCTTCTTCGTAAGTGACTGCTAAATGGTGACATGACCCAGGACCTGAGCCTTGGCCCCTTTCAACCTCTCCCTATTCTCCCTCCTCACAGCTGTTTTTTACATGTTGATGCCTCCCAAATTTATGGTTGTCATCTAGATTTCCTTGAGTTCCAGACTCAAACCCATTTGAAAATGCCATCCACTGGAGCATCTCAAACTTAGTATTTCCAAAATGAAACTCCTGATTTGTTCACTCCATTTCCCAATCTAATCCTTTCTCAGTCTTCATTTCAGTAAACAGTACTCAAGTGCTCAAATAAAAACCTTAAAGTCACCCGTTTTCTCTCCTTCCTTCATGATCTGTACCCAGTCTCCTTTGAAACCATTACCTGAACCTGCCCCTTCTCTCCATCTCTGCAATCACCACTAAACTGCCACCATCACTAGCCCCTTTCCTATCCAATCTCTACATAAAAGCCAGAAAGAGCTTTTTAAAAATCTAAGTGTTTTAAGTGCCACCATATGCTAAAAAGTCTCCTAACACAATTATCCAACTCATGCCAAACAGCAGTAAAATAGAAGGTGGATTCTGCTTTTGTTCTCAGTTAACGGAGGTGCAGGAAGAACACAGTCCCTGCTCACAAGCATCCTCACATCATGTCACACAATGTGAAAGCAGGCAGTTGCACTACAGGAAAATTGAAGTTCCTTATTGTGGCCTAAAGCCCTGCGATACTCACTTCTCCAACTTCATTTCTTCTGTCTTTCCCGACTCTTACTACAGTCTAGCCCCTGCCTCGAGCACTGCACTAAGTGCCTCTCTAAATGAGAAGCCTCCCGCCTCAGCTTGTGACTTACCTGTTCTCATAATTCCGGTGTCAGCTCAAAACTCAGTTCCTTGGGGCTGAGAAAGCAGCTCTGTGGTAAAGCACTTGTCTACCACGAATGAAACACTAACTTTGACCCCCACGAACAACCAATGCCTCCCAAACCCCCCCCCCCATCATTTTCTCAGAAGTCTCCTAAAGCTCCCTGTCTGTGGAGGCTTCATTGTTTTAATCCCTACTGACGTTTGTTTTTCCCTAACCCTCGCATTAACCTTTATCTTGCTCTCATTATCTGTCTCTACTGTTAGAATGTAAACTCGACGACAAAAACTTTATGGGTTGCTCCTGTCCCCCCTCACCTGGTATCATTAGTGTCTAACACAACATAACCAGTATACTATGCTTCTGAAACTAAAACCCATAGAGCATCTGGAGTGATGGCGACCACAGGAGCTTATATACAGACCCCTACCTAGCTAGCTGGATACCTGCGAAACACCCACGTGCTCCTTTGAACCACTTTTAACTGAAATACAGAGTATAGGCATTATCTACCCTCTCAGTGTTCAGCTTTGTGTCTGGCGCACAATCAAGTTTGGTGCTTCATTACGTTTGTTGACTATATAAATGAATGGATTAGAGAAAGCGGGGGAAAGTGTTAACCCAGAATACTAGTTTAGTCGCTGTTTTCCACTGACCACTTCCCAACTAGCCAGGCTTCAGAATGAATCGTTTATTCCTGGCTGGGATCCGACTTCTCTGAACCTCTGTATTCCCGGCCATGGCTCACCTGCCAATGACGTCCTTAGGGTCGTACTTCTGGTAAAACTCTTTGGCCGCAGCCCAGTCGGGCAGCTCATCCTCCGGCCCCACGTCCAACGTCATTCTGAAGGATGTGGGGGCCTGCGTGGAGGAAACGGAGGGCAGTGAGGGCAGTGAGGTCCACAGGTTCTGAGACGACGCACATCGTGGCTCCCGGGGGCGCAGCACCTGCGGCTGGGGCGCCAGGGTCCTGGGGGGTGGGGGTGGGGTAGGGGAAGGATCAGGACCGGGAAGACCGCACCGAAGGGCCTAGGGGGAAGGGAGGGTGGCAGGGCAGGGAAGGGGGCAGGGAAGGGAGGGGGGAAAGGTGATTCGGAAGAAGGGGGGGGGGAATGGCACAAGTGCGGGCGGCTGTTACCGCGCAAGCGCACTTGGAGACCACTGGGAGGAGGCGCGGGGTCTCGAGCGGAGTGACTCGTGCGGGCAGGGGGAAGGCAATCTAACCTGGGCAAAGACCCTCAGCTGGCTGGCTCCCTCGCGTTTATTCCTCTGCTTTTAACCCGGAGGGCTCCCACAAAGACTTAAGGCTCCGACCCCGTCATTGCAGCCAATGGGCCCCCGCTGCTTGAGGACTAAGGCTCAGAAACCCTGCCGATTGGAAAGTGACAGTCCAATAGAAAGCCGGGAGTCCAGGGCAGGCGAGGACGCTGGAGCGAGAAGTTCCCTAAAGGTCTCCACCATAAGGAGGAGCCTCAGAAACAGCCAATCAATGTATGGCATTTGCTTTTATCCAGTGGTGCTGCAGGTCTGGAAGAGGACACGGAAGTTAGGTTACCGGAAGTGTGACATCTCTGCAGTGGCTCACGGTCTTCCACTTCTTAGCTTGGGACAGGGCCCTCTCAGTTCCCTCCAGGAATCCTCATCGCTTTGTTTTCGAGACAGGGTTTCTCTGTGTAGTCCTGGCTGTTCTGGAATTCGCTCTGTAGACCAGGCTGGCCTTGAACTCAGGCACCTGCTTCTGCCTCCCAAGTGCAAGGATTAAAGGCTTGTCCCACCACTACCCGGCTGGATCATCATCTTAATTCGGCTCTTTATTATAATAAGAGCCTGTTCCAAGATTCTTTTATTGTGGAAACTTTAAAATGCGTGTAGCCAGATGTGGTTGCTCACGACTTCAATCCCAACATTTAGGAGGCAGTAGTAGGTGGATTTCTGTTGAGTTTGTGGCCAGCTTTGTCTATAAAGTGAGTTCTAAGTTACAACCAGCCCTGTTATACAGAGAATCCCTGTCTGGAAAAGCAAAATGAAACAATATGTATACATAGGCAGCTTTGCCATTTTGTGCCAACTAGGACGTCATCCCGGGCAGCTGACTCCTCCAAGGCTACTGGTCTTGTTCCCAGAAACCTTCTGCTTTAAGTACACTAGGTTGTAGGGTTCTGCCTGGAATCAGTCCTAAAACCCAGGCTCTGGACTAACAGCAATGAAAAAGGTAAAATCCTGATGTTACATTCCAGCAAAAGAGAGATGATAATCTTTTCTTTATTTTTAGATAGTGTCTCACTATGTAGCCCTGGTTAGCCTGGAGTTTGCTGTGCAGACCAGGCTGGGCTGGACCTCAGCCACTGTCTCCTGAGTGTTGGGATTAAATGTGTGCAAGACCTCTAGACTTCAGAATGATCTCTCAACAGCTTGTTCTGTAATGAAAACAAGGACTTAGAGAGTGCTTTGGTTATCATTCTGAAGCACTGATCTGTCATCAGGTTTAGCTTTAACAACTTGGGAAAAATTTTTCAACTTTCCTAAGTAGGTTTGTTGTTGGTATATAGTGGATAATTATCCTGAAATTAGTCAAATTAAAAGTATTCATATCATTAAGAAGCAAGATTCTTCCTGTTGAGAATATGGAATCTGGAACTAGAGGAAGAGACCTATGGGGAGAATTTAGAGCAACGATGAAAAATAATTAAAAATATAATTTCATATTTTCTAGATTTGGTCTCTGAAAGGACCCTGAAACAGAACCTAGTAAAGACACAGTCTAAATGCTGGTTTCTGTTAACTGCCAATAAAGGAACCAGAGATCTTTGGGAAAAGTGACCAAAGACAAGAAAAATGAGATATGGACCACAATATGGGCCTACTGATGTTCCACTTACCACCACCACCCCCCACTTAAAATCTGTGGGTTTTACTACATGTACATTATACTTTAAAAGAACATATTTTAAGGATGACAGTAAGACTTGGTATAGCTAACTTAGTTGCTGAATTCCAAGCACTAAATAAAAAAAAATAGTAAGTAAAAGCCAGAGATGGGTATAAAAATCAAAAGCAAGCATATAGATCATTAACGCTGTGGATAAAGGAGAAAAGGTGAGCTTTCTGGTGATGCAGCTGCCTTTGAGACACCATGCTTCTGTGTAAAACCCAGAGAAGCTCACTGGTTAGTGCATTGCTTTGATCTGTGGCCAGTGCCCTATCTGGGGTGAACCGACCCTTGTTCACATTTCTTGAGGAAATCACACAAAGCAACTGGCATCTACAGGGACCCACAGAACACAGAACCACAGGTAAGTTGAGAGGTGCAGGTCCATGGCCCTGCTATGGAGACCAGACAGGTATCAGCAATGGGTCTGAGACTGCAGAATCTGTGGGGGTAATGCTGAGGTCCCTGTGTGGTAGGGAATCATGTGCCACCTAACTGTGGTGGCAGATGCATATTCCCTGCAATGAATAAGACATGCTCAGAATTCTGAAAGGGCATCTTTGGGAGGAAATCCCAGGGTGATCATCTCCTATCTCATTTGTTACAGGCTGGCATGTCTTCTTGATCAATGGGGTTGCTACAAGTATGGGGACACCTCAAAATGTTACAACCCTAAAAGTATCTTGTTTGGTGGGATGGATGGTAAGCAGGCTGTGGTGGCAGTTCTGTTGGCAATAAGACACAGCCAGAGCTCAGAAGAACTTGCTCATGTAAGGAGGTATTTATTACAAGGAGGCAAAGGCAGACGACTGTTTCCTTCCACACCAGCTTCTGACTTGACAGGAAAAGTGAGAAACAGGGAGGAAGATGTACATATTGGCTTCTTTTCTCTCACAGCAAGGAAGATGGAAAAGAAAAGAGTACCAACTAGTGCTTTATATTCTTCTTGAGTTCCAAAATCCTGGAACTCACAGGAGAAACTAGAAAGTAAAGACACAGAGAGGCAGAAGTAACAGAAGATATTTCCCTGGATCTGACCTTTAATACACAGGAAGGGGAAAACCCATTAATTCAGCTACAGAAGGGGGCACTCAGTAACAGTCCAGTCCAGGCAACCACGATAACCAGAGAAAACGACATCTGATCTGCCTGAACCGGAAATGACTATTTTTAAATTAAATTTTATCTGTATGCGTGCCGTGTGTGGACATGCACATGCTACTGAGTGTGTGTGGTCATCAGACATGTCACAGGAGTTGGTTCTCTCCTTCCACAATGTGGGTCCCAAGGATCAAACTTAGGTTGTCAGGTTTGGTGTTTGGAATTTTCACTCCCTGAGCTATCTTGTTGGCCCTGGAAAAGATTTTTTTTAAACAAGAAATGATTATCACAATGGCCTGTTTCATAATGCTGTGAGACATGGGGATGGATGGAATCTGAGTGTGTGGGAGTAGAGAAATTTGTAACGTAAATTTGCATAATTTGAAGAGATAAAAGGGAAAAGAATCCCTAGTGGACTAGGTCATATGAAACACCAGCTTGGTTATCATTGGCTAAAGCTCCTAATATCAGGTTCTGGAAGACCACAGAAAAATGACTATGGCATTACTATGGAAATTGGGCATTCAAGAGTCAGTGCTTAGTGCCAAGTACACTGGGCCTGACAGGACTATTTTCACAGGAGACCAGAGAGAGAAGCAAGTTAATTCAGCAGAGACCTCATGGTTGGTCTGGAGCTTTAACAGCTTTCACAAAGCCCCATGGTGAGACATGTAAATCAAGTTTATAAGGTGTGGAAACAGTCAAAGGGAATAAAAAAAGGGCAAAGGGGTCTGTTTGGATCACTTAAAGACAAGTACACCTGGGCTTGGTGACATGTCTGTCAGCACACAGGAAGTGGCGGCAGGAGCTCAAGGCCAGCCTGGAATACACAAGCCCATCTTAAAAAATAAGAGGAGCCTGTGAGACAGTCCAGTGGGTAAAAGTACTTGTCACCAACCCTGACGAGGAGGAGTCAGTTCCTAGCCGGGTGGTGGTGGCGCACACCTTTAGTCCCAGCACTCGGGAGGCAGAGGCAGGCGGATCTCTGTGAGTTCGAGGCCAGCCTGGTCTACAGAGTGAGTTCCAGGACAGGCACCAAAACTACACAGAGAAACCCTGTCTCAAAAAGACAAAACAGGCCGGGCGGTGGTGGCGCACGCCTTTAATCCCAGCACTTGGGAGGCAGAGCCAGGCGGATCTCTGTGAGTTCGAGGCTAGCCTGGGCTACCAAGTGAGTTCCAGGACAGGCGCAAAGCTACACAGAGAAACCCTGTCTCGAAAAACCAAAAAAAAAAAAAAAAAGACAAAACAAAACAAACAACACGCCCCCCAAGCAAAACAACCCCCCCCAAAAAAACCAAAACAAAATAAAAAAGAAAACTAATTTCTGAACATTGTCTCCTTATTTCTATACGCATGCTGGAGCCCTCCCCTCCACAGCACATAAAACCAATAAAAATGGGATAGGAGAGATGGATCAGTAGTTAAGAGCACTGGCTGCTCTTGCAGGTGACATAGGGTTGGTTCTCAGCACCCATACAGTGGCTCACAACAATCCCTAACTTCAGTTCCAGGAGATCTAATGCCCTCTCTTTCTGACCTCCTTGGGCATTAGGCAAGCATATGGCACAGATATCTACAGGCAGGTAAAACACCCAGATATAAAATAAAATTTAAAAACCCAGCTGTAATTAAAAAATAGAACAAAAAAGAAACTGAGACAAATGTAGCAAGACAGATATAAAGCCAGTATTCATATGTAATTAAAACAAAAAGGCCTTACCAAAGTTTTTCCTAGAGGTGGGCAGGTATCCTCCCCGGAGCATATTACTCCCATATGAAAAAGGAAACAGAAGGTGGAGTTTATTTGCAGTTAGGTGTGGTTAATGGAGAGTGGTGGCCACAGCCTAAGTTTAGAGACTGTCAGACCCTGGAAGCCGGCTCCAGTGGCAGGTGTAGCAGGCTAAGACATGAATCACTGGCCTTACTCCACTTGGCTTTGGGCCAGGCCAAACAACACAAGTTAGTTCTGAGATCATTCAGGATGCAGGGGATGACATATATCAGCCCAAAGGAAGTGTCCTAGGAATGAGACCAGATGGCTCTAGGATGTGAATTCTGGAAGGGTACTGTCCCCCCACTGTGCTACTGTACCCAACATTACTCTCTCAACGAATTGATTCAAATGTATTACATATTGCTAATGTTTTCAGACTATCCTCTGCTGGGGTGGACTTCAGAGAGCCCACCTGTCCTCTGTGATAAAGTTACCCTTATATAATGCTAACCCCTGAATGTCTCACAGACTTGGAAAACACCTGGAGGAACAGTAACAACCACAACGGAATAATTTCAACAGGGGCGCCCAGAGTGGTTAGAAAAAGACACTCTTAGAAGCCATAAAGCTTGTTAGATGAAAATCCTGGGGGCTGGAGAGGTTAAGAGCACTGGCTGCTCTTCCAAAGGTTCTGAGTTCAATTCCCAGCAACCACATGGTGGCTCACAACCATCTATAATGATATCTGGTGCCCTCTTCTGGCATAAAGGTTTACATGCAGGCATACATGCAGGCAGAACATTGTATACATAATAAAAAAATCTTTAAAAAAACAAAATCCTGCTGCCAAGAATGGACTGAATTCTCAGAGCTATTGCCAGGAAGGCCTCTGGAGCCCTGCAAACCATGAAGGCCATTGTCACTGCTGTTGGTTGCATCTCAAAACTAGATGGTAAATCTGTCGTTGAAACATCACATTGGTTGTAGGATATGGAGAAATCGGGCTGGACTGAGCCATGACCCCCATTCCTGCTAGTTTTAAACAAACAAAAACACCAGGAGGTACAATGTGGGTGACAATTATTTTTGCTTACACCCATAGGTTACTGCTGTTGTCAGCCTCAGTTATAACAGGATACTAAAAAAAATTTACTTTAAATTATGTGTATGCTCATGTGTGTGCATGTATGAAGCTGCCTGTGGAGGCGAGAGAACATCAGATTCCCTAGGGCTGGTTGTAAGCTGGCTAATGTGAATGCTAGGGACTCAACACAGAATCTCTGCAAGGGTACTATGGCTCTTACCTGCAAAGTCATCTGCCTAGCCCAGGAAACATTTTGCAGCAGGTGGTACTCAGCCAGTCAAGCTCCTGAAAATAAGTGACTGTTGCTGACAATTCTCAGCCACAAATGGAAGACAAATGACCAGACATTGCTATCATCCACGCCACTCCCTCAAAAAACAAAAAACCCAGAGAATGTTCTCAAAGAGGTGAAAAGAATGTATCAAAAGAACTAAAGGGGTGGAATGTTGTGCAGCTGTTTCAGCCTAACTGAAAAATGTTCCCCTCAAGAGAATGGAGGCCCTTAAGAACGAGGAAGCTCAAAAAGGTGTTAAGACTCATGAAGTCTTTAAGTTATACAATCAGTAAACAAGTGCTGAGGAGGAAACCTCTTGGTCAAGGAGCTCCAGGGATGCAGCTTTCATGAGCTATTGTCCATGGTAAGGTGGGCTTTCCAATGATCTAGCTGCCCCCATGTTCCTGTCAATAACCCAGTAAACTCACCGGTTCATCATACTAGCCCTGGACTGTTTCCTTGGTCTGTTGTTGGTGTCCTATCCATGGTGAACATATCTGTTCCTATCCCCAGGAGAAGTAAGACAGCACTGTGGAACACTGAAGACCACCATGTGCCTCTCTCTCATCAGTGCATGCATCTCTAATTTGTTTAGCTCTGCTTTTTTCCGTTTTCTTTCTGAATTATGATAAAGTCACTCAAAAATTCTATTCGTGAGGCACATGGACTTCAAAAGACATGTCCAAGAGCCAGGCAGGCATGGTGATGCATGGCAAGTAGAGAGGTAGAGGTCAGCCTGGTCTAAATAGTGAATTCCAGGATAGCTAGAGCTACATAGTGAGACCCTGTGTAAAAAACAGTGAGGGGGAAGAGGCAGTACAAGAGTATCTATAGTAGCATGGTATAACGTTCACGAATTGGGAACACCCCCACATGCTACCAACAGGAAACGAATGAATTATATGTATTCATATAACATAGCAACAAAACTACAGCTGTACATAATACTCACTACACAAATGTTAAGAGCGAAGACAAAAAGATATATGACTCCATCTCTTTAAAGTTAAATTTACTTTTATTTACATGTGTGCCCACAGAGGCTTGATAGATTACTGAATCCCCTGGAGCTAGAGTTTTATAGGTAGATGTGAGCTGCTGGATGTGGGTGCTGGGGACCAAACTTGGGTCCTCTGCAAGAGCAGTAAGTGCTCTTAACTCCTCATTGTTTTCTCCAAGCCATAATTATTTTTGAGGAAGGTGCTCTTGTGTCCCATTAAGATTTTTGTGTGTGTTTGGGAGGCATCCAGGCAGTGGGACCAGGTCCTGTGCTCATTTCATGAGTTGGCTGTTTGAAACCTGGGGCCTATGCAGGATTGTTTGGCTCGGCCTGGGAGGAGGGGACTAGACCTACCTGGACTGAGTCTACCAGGTTGACCTCAGTCTGTGGGGAAGGCTTTGCCCTGGAGGAGATGGGAATGGGGGGTGGGGTTGGGGGGAAGGTGAGGGGGACGGGAGGGGGGAGAACAAAGGAATCTGTGGCTGATATGTAGAACTGAATTGTATTGCAAAATAAATTAAAATAAATAAATTAATTAATTAAAAAGATTTTTGTGTGTATGTGAGTATAGCTTTATGTATGAATGTTTTGCCTGCTTGTAAGTATGTGCACCACATATATGCCTGGTACCTGTAGAAGGTAGTGGAAACCCCTGGAACTGCCATTACAGAGGTGGGAATCACCATGTAGACATGGGGAATGAAACCCAGGTCTTCTGCAAGAACAAGTGCTCTTAACTGTGGAATGTTTCTCCAGCCTTCATATGCATGCTGCCTCCCTGCCCCCCCCTACTTTGTTTTTAGAGACAAGGTTTCTTTGTGCAACAGTTCCAACTGTCCTGGAACTTGCTCTGTAACCAGGTTGGCCTTGAACTCACAGAGATACTCCTGACTCTGTCTCCCAAGTGGCCCCCAGTCTATATATACTACTTTAAACATTCCTTCCTTCCTTCCTTTCTCTTTCCTTTCTTCCTTCCTTCCTTTTCTTTTTCTTTTTCGTTTTTTTTTTTTTTTTTTTTTGGTTTTTCGAGACAGGGTTTCTCTGTGTAGCTTTGCGCCTTTTCTGGAACTCACTTGGTAGCCCAGGTTGGCCTCGAACTCACAGAGATCCGTCTGGCTCTGCCTCCCGAGGGCTGGGACTAAAGGCGTACGCCACCACCGCCCGGCTTGTTTATTCTTGATTGGTTGACTGACTGTCACTTCTCTAAAGCAGACTCAAGCAAAACTACATGTGAGAAGTCAGGACAGTGGTCACTTGTGATAAGAAATGATTGGAGGGTACTAAGGTCTCGCAGTGCTGACAACAACCCATTTGAACAGTAGCTTTCAGGTACTGGCTAGGCGTTAATTTAAACTATACATTTGTCTGGAGTCTGCTTGTGAGTTATGTTTCCAAACTTTAAGAAAATATTTAAGCTGAGTGTGGTTGTGTATGTCTGTAATTCTAGCAGGATTAATTCTGTAATTCTCAGGAGGCAGCAGCAGGAGGATCAAGTTTGAGGCCAGACTGGGCTACATGACCTTGCCATTTTAGAAAACAAAGCAGCAACACCAACAGTCAAGCATGGTGGTGCACACTAGTAATCCCAGCATTGGCATAGTGACTTTGAGTAGTCTGACTCAATAAAACAAACAAAAATACATGCCCAATATGTACATCTATAGACCCTAGAAGTTTAAAATATTATCAGGAGTCCCAGGATAAAAACATAAAATATGCTTAATCATACAACTGTCAGTGTACAGGGTGGTGGTTCTTGTAATCATTCCTCTGGAAGCAAACTGTCTGAATTCAAGCTACCTTTCTACTTTCTAGCTTTAGGGTCTAGGACTCACAAACACCCGTTTCCTCAGCTATAAAGAACAATGGCACCTACTACTGAGTCACTGTGAGGACTCAGAGGAAAGAAGCAGTGCCTGAAGCTCAGCCTGCCAGTGCCTACTCAACAAATGTGTGTGAGTTACTACTATTATTCTTGTCTGGCTTCAGAGTCATGGCTGATAGATAAGAAGCTGGTTTTTTCCCCCAAGGGAAACTTCCCCAAAAAAGTAAAAAAAAAAAAAGTCCTAATCCTAGGTAGAGGTTAGAGGTCAGACGCAGGCTTAAGTCATCACTTAGATGCTTAGTCTTGCCTTTACCAAAGGCCCAAGGGAAAGCAGTAAAAAGAACAATTAGACAGTATTTCATCACCAAAAAAGGTTTTTATTACAAAACAAATTCTAATAAAATCAAGCCTGGTTTTCAATCCTTTCTCTGAATGGAGGCTCCTAGGATGGAGGGGTAGGGAGACAAAGCAGAGGGTAATGAAAGAATAGAGCAGGCTGACCTCCCCGTGAAGTCTCAGGTGCTTTGAATAGCCTAGATGAGCTCTTCCAATGGTTCCCGAGAAGGGCAACGTCCTTCCAGACAGGAAGAACCACGAACCACTCCTGTCACCAGAACTGAGCACTGCCGCACTGTTGGATTGGATCCAGGTCTTGACTGGCTCTCAGCAAAGGCCAACCAGGGTTACTCAGCCTGCGCAATGGTGTAGGAGAGTAGCCACAGCAGCAAGGGACCCAGAGCAAGGACAGCAAACCAGACAGCAAAACTGGCCAGAATGAGTCTCCGGGCCCGGGCCCCCCAGTATATGGCCTCCTCCGACTGGCCTGCCTTATGCCGCTCTTCTGCCTGTGGGGGCAGGTTCTTGGTTAGATTCTCCCCCTGCTTCTGTCCCAAAGTGCCCACTGCCCTATTCCTCTCCTTGATCTATCATAGCTCATATTCTCACACCCAAACATTTTACATCCTTTCATTTGTCTTTCTGGTCTCATCTACAACACACTCTATTCATCACAGTCCTGCCTACGTTTCAATTGGCCACAGTTAGCTTAGAACATTGCCCTTGGGAAAGTGCTTTTTAATGACTTTGGTTTGTTTTGTGGTATGATGATGGAATCAGGGCCTGGGCATACCAGCCAAGTTCTCTGTTGAACTACATTTTTGGACTCGAAAATACTTTTAAGTCCTTCTATTCCCATTCTTTTCTATCTGGAATTTGGAATTCTTGACTCAATGAGTCTTATCTAGTCAAATCTCTCATGGTTCAATAGGCATCATCATTTTCATCACAAAGGATCCTTTTTTATGAGTTTGCCCCAGTGAAATTCTTATGGTGACAGAAAGTGTTTCTGATTGTCAAGATACATCCAGGGGGTGATAAGATTCCAGAATGGTATTAAGTTAGCTTGAATAGCCTTCCAGTAGCCACACATGTATGTTGAGCTTAGTAACAATGCACTTATCATGGGTAAGGCTCTGGGCTCAATTCCTAGCAATGCCACCCTGAACCCAACCACAAAAAAGGGTACAGTGAATCTCTAACAACTACACTGCTTCTTCCAGATCCTGGATATTGCTCTTATCACTACTCAACTGTCTGCCTGTAGTTTTGCCCCTTGTGATTCAACCTCAAAGGAGGCTTTGAGTAGATCTTTCTGAAACACAAATCTGGCCACGTCACTCCTCTGAAATAATTTTTACATTGCTCTCTAGTATTCGAGATAAAGTCAAAATTCAAAAGTACAGAATTGGTGGCCCTCAGGACTCTAGATGTTTGATGTCAATTCTCAGTATTCCTCATTGAATCCACATTTGTACTCACTGCTGCCTTTATCTGGACTTCCTTTCACCTCATACACTCACCCTCTAAAAGTGATCTTCTTGTGGTCATCTTGTGAATGCTTTGGTAGCCACTTACTCTAACAGATTTATTCTCTGTTTTACACACACACACACACACACACACACACACACACACACACACACACACACACACACACACCTTTCCTTGTTCCTCTGTTTCTAAAGTACCTTGTGCTTCCCCTGTACCACAGTGTAAATGAGCTGCATTCACCTAATTATCCATTTTTACAACTATCTCTTTCACAAGACATGGGTCCTTTGAAAACATTCTTATTCTGGCACTAAGCATCAGTAGGTATTTAGTAACTGTTTAACTGTAGACAGATCAGATACACAAAATCATTTTCTTATACCCACCCCTGTACCCACAGGAATTTTATTCCTCACCTTGATGGCAAACACAAGGGCCATGACTCCCAGGCAAGAACAGCCACAGATAATGCTAGTAGCTGCCAAGTAGCGGAGGCGGAGCCAGCAGCAGTGGATAGGGGATGGAGAATGAGCAGCTTCCATGTTGCTCATCAAGCTCTCCGCTGCCTTCTCCTCGTCCTCCATCACCTGTGGGCGATACAGTCAAGGTACTTTTAAGCCCAACAAATGAGCTCTTGCTCTGGCATGGTGACTCCACCCTTCTCAAAGCATGCTATCTACTGTTCTAACCCTATACTTAGGAATGCAGTTGTACTGGGAAATTCCTCCAGTGACTCAGGCCAGGAGACTAAATGCGTGGATGGAATCCTTTCCATCAGTTTAAGATTCTAAATCTTTGAAGGCAAGCATGTGTGAATATACTTGTATTTCAGCAAGTACAGAGAAGCATACTGAGAAACAGGACATAGAATCTCAAAACCTTTGAGTAAGTGCCTTATTTTGTTTTGAGATAGGGTCTCACTATGTAGCTCTTCCTGACCAGCCTGGAACTATGTAGACAGGCCTGGCCTCAAATTCAGAGATCCCCTGCCTCTGCTCCCTTGTGCTGAGACAATTTTTTTTTTTTTTTTTTTTTTTAAAATAGAGTTTCTCTATATAGTCCTGGCTGTCCTGGAACTCACTCTGTAGACCAGGTTGGCCTAGAACTCACAGAGATCCACCTGCCTCTGACTGGAGTTTTGGGATTAAAGGCGTGCGCCACTACACCTGACATGAAAACAGTTCTGGGGATGAAGGGAAAATCATACAGTTCTTTTTTGCTGTTTATAAAAAAAAAAAAAAAAACCTTAAAATCAAACTAACACCTAACCCAGTAGTAGTGGCAGACACTTATAATCCCAATTCTGGACAGGTGGAAGCAGAAAGATCAAGAGTTCAAGACCAGCATTACTAGCTCAAGAGTTTGAGGATAGGAGATCTTGTCTCAAAACAAAAACTAAAACACAACAACCAAAAAGCCCCAAACCCTGAAACTATCTTTGTTATGATGCCTTCTTGCCACCTTCTCTCTCCATTTTAACCCAGACCATACAACACAACCAGATTAGCAGAGTTCCAGTAACCTCACTGCCCATACAGAAACCTGCACAGTGTCTTCTTTACTCACTCAGACCCTCTGTGCACATCAAAATATCTTTCTACCCTCATGTCCAATCATTCTCCTACAGCTTGGACAAAACTAAACCACCTGTGGTTCCCCCAAGCACAAGTAAAGAAAATGCAAAAAGTGAGAGATGAGAGAGCAAAAGGATGTGTAGCAAAGCTGCAATGTCAAGTTGAGGCAAGAACTGAAGCGTCAGCAAATGAGAAGAGCTCCAAGAGGAGGGCCCAGGGAGTTAAGGTCAGAAACTATAAACATGAACATAGATTCTTACCTGGCTATAGGCTTTGAGGGACTGTGAGTTTCGGCTCCTGCCTCAGGTTTGATTTGGCTTGGGTGGAGATGAAGCTGACTCATGGCTCCAAGCCAAGCCAAGGTAGAGTTGTGGGGCCAGCCACCATGTGAAGAGCCCAGGGAGCTGGGAAGGGGCATGGCCAACTCAAACCAGTTTGGCTAGATGGAGAGCAGAGGAGGGCCAAGGCATGAAGCAAATGGAGGATGCCTGCTTTCTGAAGAAAGGAGTGTAAGGAAGCACCTGAGCAAGGAGGTTGAAAGGGAACTCCAAGGTGTTGGAGAGCTGAGTGAGGGAAAGTTCAAGAGTCAGAGAAAAGAGTATGTCTGAGTGGTCTAAAACTGAGACTACATAGCCTATCAGATCAGATTTGACAATCTTTCCTTTTCTTGACTGAGAGAGGGGTTAAGTTCTGCTTTAAAAGTATACAATCTTGAATTAGAGATCAGGTATGGGTCATTGCAAGAGGGAGGTGAAAAATTATGTCCAAGTTCCCACCCAACCCTCCACCAGACCAGAAAATCAGAAGCCTCCTTACACGGATGCTTGTACAGAAACTAAGTTTATTATGTTTTCTTCTTAAAAAAAAAAAAAAAAAAGAAAGAAAAAAAAAAAAAAAAACAAACCCATCCCACCTCATTGAAGAAAAGCCCCTCCCCCTTTCCCTAAGGGTTTGAGGCTGTGAAAGACAGCTGGGGAATCAAGTACAAGGGGGTGGGGACAGAGACTATCTTGCCACCCTTAACACTGCCCAGCTATGTAGGGTAGGAGAGAAGGGGGGTTGTGATGAGCCCCATTTCCATGACAACCAGTTACCTACCCCCTACTTTGGTGGAAAGGGAGACAGCCCCCTATGTCTCCCTGGAGGCTTTCCCCCTCAGACTTCAAGTAGTGGTTAACAGAGTCAGGCCTGGGCATGGGGAAGAGACCATGGTGGGACACCTAGGTAAGGGCTTACCCACTCACGTCTTGGCCTTGCGACCTCTGTGACTAATAGTAGGGACAGAGAGGTGGGGAGGAGCACTACTACGCAGGATACGCTGGTCCCCTTGGTTGGTGGTCCCAACGAGCCTGCGGGGACCGGTTCGGCGGCGTGGGGTTCCATCTCCTTCCTCCTCGTCACCTGAGGCTTCTGCCTCTGACTCCTCTACTGAACCCTCAGGCCCCAGGGGACTTGGGGGCTGCAAGCGGCCCCGCTTTGCCATCCCAGAACTCCCAACTGGAGCCCCTGACCTTTTGCGAGGCATTTTTTCAGTTTCTAGTGGGGGAACTAGAGACCCTGGACGCAGGCGGGTTGATCGAAATTTGGGAGTTAATGAGACCACAGGTGGTGTCAGTTCTAACCCACTTGGCCCACTATCTGCTAAATCCAGGTCATCCTGAATTACGGCCATCACCATGGACCCTTCACTCTTTCGTCCCCGAATGCCCTCTGCTTCAAGCCGTAGACGGGCCAGGCGGGTGAGAGGGCGGCTTCCATCCTCATCAGAGGAACTGCCTTCACTTTCCGCCTGGCCCAGGGGTTGCCGCCGCACCCCCAATCCACAACTCTCAAGGACAGAAGGGCTGTCGGTGTCCAAGACAGGGAGCTGGCTGGGCCGAGGTGATGGTGGATTCTTGGGAGGTCGGCCTCGCTTCCGCTTAGGTGGGGAGGTTGAAATAGTGACAGTGGTGACAGTGTTGGCGACAGCAGTGGGACAGGCTAGAAGTGGTGGGAGTGGTGTCAGGGGTGCAGGGACGGGGAGTGGCTGTGTCCGGCTCTCTAAGTTGCCATCCCCTGGAGAGGATATGGTCCCAGGAATGGGCAAATCCCTTGCTTTAGGGGGACGCCCACGTCGTCTTTTTTCCACAGGTGATAGGATGGGCTCTGGCCTGTGAACTGGTTCAGGTCCAAGAGGCTGGGGCCTAGGAACCAACTGGGGCCTGAGGGCAGGCTCTGCAACAGTTACTGTCTCGGGCCCAGGGACTGGGTCAACCCCGTTGGTTTTCCCCTTAGAGACGGATGAAGGGGTCTCATCCACCCCTCTCCCAGCATCTGCTGGAGACCTGTTCTTCTTGGGGGGCCTTCCCCTCCGACGTTTCACAGCAGGTGGAGTGATGGTAAGCTCTGCTTCTTCTCCATTCTCTGGGCTGCCCCCACCAGTCATACCCAGTTCAATGTGACGACAAGCTATGAAGGGATGCTGGGTTGGGGTGGACAGTGAAGATGAAGGAGCAGCTTCACAGGGCCCACTGCTGGGAGGTGAGGATTCTGGCCCTGACATGCTGTGGGTGGATGGGCTTCCTGGACTGGTGTTAGCTTCAGATACCCCAGGTACTAGGGTGCTGGCAGTTCCCCGATGTCGCCGTCGTCTCACAAGTTCTTTTTCTTCCACCACAGTTACCAGCCGTCCTGGCAGCTTTCGAAGCACTTTGGGACCTGGGGGTTGTCCTGCCCGGCCAGACCCCTGACCCCTGATTTCCACATCAGCACTGGTGCGACGCCGTGGGGGTCGGGCAGGTGAAGGACCCTCAGGAGAGGAGGTGGCTGAAGGTGAGGTTGATGGGGCTGTAACCTCGGCACTAACAAGTTCTTGTGGCTTTTCTGGGTTGGAGATTGGGATCTGAACCTCTCCCGTTTCTTCCAAGTTCCTGTGAGCCTCCAATACCTCCTGAAGTGGCTCATCAGATGCTGCTGAGGGTGGGAGCTCCAGCCCATTGCTCTCACTCAGACTCACGGTCAACCCCTCACCACCAGGGAGCAGTGTGGGACTGGTCCCCTCCTCAGGACCTGGCACCTCCTGCTCCTGACCATTGGGGATGGTGTCAGCCTCCAGGGTTGAACTGGGTGCAGGAGTTACAAGATTCTTCTCTGACTCAGGCAGAATATCAACAGACCCTGGCAAAAGATCCTTCGGAGGCACAAGCCTAACCAGGGAAGCCTCAGAATTGGTCATTCCAGGCAGCTCTATGGACTCCACAGGTACCAACTCTCGTGCACACAGCTCTCCTTCTGAGTTCAAAGGAAGGTTGGTAACCCCAGGAGAGATGGGCACAGGAAGGGAATCAAGAGAGGTTGGTGAAGAAGTGGTCAAATGAGAGGCTTGAGCTGGTGAGGGGGTACAAGTGGGTGGAGGGGTACAGGCAGAAGGAGGGATGCAAGTAGGAGAAGAACAAGATGGAGGGAGCTGAAGCAGAGGTGCAGGAGTAGGCAAGATATGGACAGGAAGAATAGCTACTGGATTGGGGGCTGAAATGGGTATGGGAGCTGTGGGTAGGGCAGAAGTTACAGCTGGAGCGGGAGCGGGAGCGGGAGCGGGAGCGGGAGCGGGAGCAGGAGCAGGAGCATGTCGAGGCCTAGGCACTGGCCTGGGAATTCGTTCTCTCACAGGGCTGCACTGGGGAGGCATGAAGGTGTTGCAGGTAGGATGGGTGGATGTGACAGGAGTGTGGTTGGCTCCTTGAGTCTCAGCTCGAGCTCCACGAAGACGCTCACTGACACGAGTCCCCAGCCTCTCAGGAGCTTTGACTTTCTTACTGCGCCGGTGGCTGCCTCCACCAGTCCCACCAGACATTTCATCCCCAGCCCCTGACCCTTCCTCTTCCTCTTGGGGCAGTCGAAACACCTCCTCCTTGGCTTGATCCAGGTCTTTTCGTGCAGCTTCCACTTGTTCCTACCAACAACATAGCCCAACACGGTCAGCAAGAGGCAGAGCAAAGCGAGCCAGAGTAGAAATGAGCAGCTTCCACTATCTCATTCCCCAGAAAGACTTACTTCTGCCTGCTTGAGCTCCTCTCGGCTTACTTCCTCCAGTGAAGCCTCTAGGAACTTCATGGCATAGCGTTCAATGGGAGTCAGCTGTAGGGAAGAGTAAGGGGATAAACAGAAGGACCTAGAGCTCAGGGCCTATCACCATTATTATCACCAGGGAAGCCAGAAGAAGAAAAAAAGGTCTGAGCGCTGGCATAAGTTATGACAGATGAAGAGAAGTGGTAGCCGATCCAACACTAACCTGTTCTACAAGGGCAGCAATTTCCTGTTCAGCCCTGGACATCTCCTCCTCCTCAGCCCCAGGTCGACTGGCCTCCTCTCCCTCACCAGCAGGAAACCCATCATTCTCATTAAATTCTGCAAGCTCAGCCACTTGTTCGGCTTTGGCCTGGGTGGCTGCACGGATATCTTCTTCATCTTCTGCCCGGCACAATGCCTTCAAGGTGTACAGAAGAAAAACAAAGTATACACAAAACAAGAAATTTAAGAATCTGGAGGCCAGCAAAATGGCTCAGCGGGTAAAAGCACTTGTCCAGCAAGGCTGACAGCCTGACTTTGATCCTCAGAACCCATACTGGAAGGAGATGGAGTCTAGAAAGTTGCTCTCTGATCCCCATATGCATGTGACGGCACATATGTATATAATGAACAATAAAAAAAATTTCAAGCCGGGCAGTGGTGGCGCACGCCTTTAATCCCAGTACTCAGGAGGCAGAGCCAGGCAGATCTCTGTGAGTTCGAGGCCAGCCTTGTCTACAGAGTGAGTTCCAGGACGAGCTCCAAAGCTACACAGAGAAACCCTGTGTCCAAAAACAAAAAACAAACAAACAAAGAAAAAAGGGTGATGGAGCTGGAGAGATGCCTCGACTCTAAAGAAACCTTACCACTCTTGAAGAGGACCTATCAGGTAGCTTAATTCCAGCTCTAGGGGGAATCCAATCCCTCTGCTCTCCCACAGTAACTGCACTCATGTGCAAATATCTACACATAGACATTACATATGCATAATTAAAAGTAAAAAGATTTTTTTAAACAAAACAAGAAAGTGAAAAACTTTTCATGGCATGTTGCAGGAACATGCCCATAATCTCAGCCCTCGGGAGGCACAAACAGCACTGCTGCAAGTTTGAAGTCAGCCTGCTCTTCACAGACTGTTCCAGGCAAGCCAGAGACACATGACAAGAGCCTGCCTCAAAACAACACAAAATAAAGTTATTTATGTCTTGTAATTACATTTTATTTATTTATGACAAGGATAACAAGGTCTTACTATGTGACCCTGGCTGTCTGGAACTCAATGTGTAGACCAGGTTATCTTTGAACTAACAGAGTTGCATCTACCTCTG